AGTCGAAATGATCAATCGCAGACGTCAATGCGGCGACACAGATTTCTCTCTGTGAGAACATGGGGAACCCATACATACATACAATTAAATCCTCTGTCGGGAAAAAACGAAATGACTTTCCGAACAACCCTATAAATTTATTATATTATCTACTACAGAAAAGTTAGAAGAGTATCAAATATTTTGTATCTAGAGTTTAATAATTGAAAGGAGATGATTTGATAGCAGTTATACTGCTTATTATGGCATCTACAACACTGGATCGATCCTCGACGTTACATAAAGCTTCAATAATTGATTTCTCATTGATCAAAATCAGGCTGAACATAAAGCTTTCAAAAGCGACTATTTTTTAGTAGTAATTGACATCAACAATCCTATTGTACGAACCAATTCAGAAACGACTTTACTGCACTTAACTTTGTGTAGTCGTATAATTACATCATTATACAAAATATGATAAAAAGTACGAAAATGTATGATTAAAGGAAGTTTTATGAACTAAAACGATAGATTTTACTTGTTTGGTATTTATCAGTTGCGATTTTCCTTATAAGAGTTCCGGAACCTTAGACCACAAGCTTAGTAAGTATATGAAACATTAATGATATCAGCCCAGAATTACATCATTTGGCCCAAAAGGTAATTCGAACACGTACCTAGGACAACGTGGGGAAAACCTAGAATAAAACCTATCGTGAAATATTGTACACATATTGTCAATGATACACATAAAGACATAGCGCCCCTTTCATCCAGTAAAATAATTCTGCTCCCGATAGACAGAAAAATTAGTTTTATGTGGTCGTCGATAATCATTAACTCGCATTTAGAATATCAACGGGAAAGGTAAAACCTATTATGAAACTTTGTACACATATTGTCAGAAATACACATAAGGACATAGAATGTCTTTTATTCAGTAAAACATTACTGTTCCTGTGGGTAAAACCTAATTCAAAATATAGATGAGTAAACAGTTTTACAGAGCACTGGAAAGAAGAGTATGAATGTCTTTTTATTTCTCGAATAAAATACGGGATTATGTAGAGTTGACTAAAAATAATGTTAACTATCTAATTATATATTGCACAAATAGCAATTAAACTTCTCTTTATAATCCATTTCAAAGCATTTCATAGTTTTCTACAGTTCCTACAAAAGCTTTTCGGATAGTTAAAACTCTCTACTGGCTGTGGATTACTTTTAATATGATAAGTCTATTTTACGCCAGATTTGGAATTATTTTATTTCTATAACTATATTCATTGTTATTAATGTCCACGCGGCGCACTATTTAACACATAAATCATAAGCAATATTATATAATGGGACAGCTAAATTCTCACGATTAGGCAACAAATTAATAGTGACAGTTATACAGTAGATTTTTCATCTGAATTTATGTAAAAGCAAAAGGAACTACCTATTAACAGAAATAGAAACAATAATACGTATAATTAGTCGTTATTAACCACACCTTCATCTATGTAAATGGATTCTAAAAGGAATAAAAAATATGGAAAAAAATGAAGAAAACCAGTAATTGAACTAAAAGCATTTCGTTTTATCGAGAAAATCGGTCTTAAAAAAAAAGTACAAGACACAAAATATTATTTTAATGTTCCTTCCCAGTTTCAACAGACTTCTAGAATAGATAAAACGTATCCAAATGAATCTGTTTCTGCAACTTATTCTTCAATTTCATTTCATTTTTACTGTAAACACTATTGGTCTCTTACCGGTGGAAGATGGAGAATTTTATTTAAACGAATGCGTGAATAAAATTAGTGCGAAATATTTTACGAACACTGGCCCTGTTTTGATGATAAATGTTACACTATCAAATTTTCCTTTGCAAACAATACTGCAAACCGATTTCGTTAATTTCAACAAAACTTTGTTTTATTATGGGAATGCCTGCATCATCGACCAGAGAGGACAAAAAATTGAAGATTTTTTGAAATATGTTGCCACAACCCTCCACTGGAAGCCACAAGCTAAGTACATTATTATATCCGACGAAAATCCTCAAGAAATTTTCAAATGTTTATCTCCTCACTTTGTAATAAATGTCATTGTACTTTACCCCAAGTCATCAAAAATGGTTGAAATTTACAGTTACAATTTATTTGGAGAAAATGGAGAAATTCTTTATCCTGTCTCAAAATTACTGGATGTATGTATTGAAGGTGTTTTACAAGAGAATATCGATTTATTTCCAAATAAGCTTCCAAAGAATTGGAGCAAAATGGAAGTCAGAGCCGATGAAGTTACTTTTCTAGTAAAACCATTCAAAGGCCGAAGTGCACTCGAAGAAGTAATGAATATAATTGCGAAAAAGACGAAATATACCTTAACATACGTCGATCTGAAACCAAACCGTTCCTATTTCTTCCACAGAGAGCTGCTAAGCAATTGTCAAATACATATGGCCTTCACTGACAATTTGCAGTTGTTAGATCAAGTTTATCCACACACAACCGATCGCCTGGTTTGGGTTATTCCTAAAGCGAAAGAAATCTCAGGCTGGATGCGATTAACTTATATTATGGATGGAACACAAATATTATCGATTTTGTTCTTATTCTGTTTCATTGCATTGGCCAAGTTTTTATCGGATATAGTAAACAAAAAGCCGCACGATTTCATAAGTTCTTTATTATTTTCATACCGTTTCTTTGTTTCCTCATCAGCGAGATCCAAAAATCAAGCCACCAGTAGAAATATTTTAGATTTGTTTTGGGCCATATTTTGTTTTATTTATACGACTATTTTTATGACTCATTTGACTGTTTACATGACGACACGATCTTTCGACAGACAACTAGATACAATAGAAGATCTTGTCAAAAGCGGACTCAAAATCGGGATTCGAGAAGGGGTTTCAGATATCGACTTATTTCAAAGTAATAGTTCAATAGACAACTACATTAGAATGAACCATTACACATGCCACAACTTTGAGCAATGCCTTGGTTGGATTGCCGATGAGAAAAATGTGACGTGTATTTTTTCAGAAAATTATATCAAGGCAAAATATAACAACGTTCCTTCTGAAATGATTCCATTTCACATTGGATCCAAAACTATTATATCAACTTATTTTAGTTTTGTATTTTGCAAAGGATTTCCTCTTCAGAACGAGATAAGGCGTCACGCGACGGCTATTTTCGAAAGTGGAATCATCAGCAACTACTTAAACATGTTTCTAAGTCGTAGTAAAAGAGTTTCTCAAAAACGAACCGATTCAAATGTATTTTTAACCGCCAGCGATCTCAGTTATGGTATAAGAGTAATAACATTGGGATTAGGCATTAGTTTAATAGTATTTGTTTTGGAGCTCTGTTACTACTACGGGTTGAAATTTTATAAAGCGCGTGGACCGTTTTTTTAAACAAAAATTTGAATTCAAAAACTGACCCGGATAATCGTATTTAATAGCAAATATCTTAATTTTCAAGCACATTAATATTATCTTTATTTATTTATTATCTAATTTCTATCCATATAAATCTTCACCTCTTTAATTTTAAGCAGTTAATATTGTATTGCGTTGATAAGAGTATTAACAATAGTTTTAATTATTTCTAAGATTTAAATAGCACAGAGGCAATAAACAGCCAAATTTGCACTAAAAGGTGTGTCTTTAATGAAATAACATTGTGGCTTATTGTGATTGATTAATAAAATATTTGAAAAACGGCAGGCTTTTCATTGTCGTTAATCAAACAAGATACTAACAATACGAAAAAACTTTATAATTTTTAACAGTAATAATACCTACCTTTTTCCAGAAAATTTTTAAAAAGAATTCAATTCGATTTACCCCAACCATTAAAATTTTAGGAAACTTTTACCAAATCATAGTACCATATACATATACAGAATGTACAATTTACGGTACAACCCCTGAAGCAACAATAAATGTCACCTTTCGTTTTTGATACCCAAGATCATAAGGTTACAGCAGGAAAAGACAACACGAAGTAAGTGTTTTCATAATCATGCCATTTTTTCCATAATTGCATGGCAGTTACTTGCTCTATTATATTATTTCTATGGCCCCTGTCGTGCGTGGGCCATTTAGATTAGGTTGGCAGCATTACAATATTTGAAGCCAACTTCGAAACTAACGTAAACAGCACTTATACCCTACCTACATACATACATAAACACCAAGTTGTCGAGCCACAAAGACTCGATATGAGTAAAAACTGCTTGGCTTGCTTAATATATAACGTGAGGCATAAAGCATCATTAAGTTGTGGAGACAGGGAAATTTTGCTTACAATTTGGGTCTGACAACTAAAAACTTTGCAATTGATGTGCCCAGCGTACGAACGCATTTTATAGCCTGTAGTAATAATGATGCTTTCTAGACTCATTTGCTAATTTTTGCTCCTACGTATGTTTAGCCTTTTTGTGTGAAGGTCTACTAATACAATGGTACCAATTCTTTTCACAGTGGTAAAGTATTTGAATCCCATTAAAAGCAATAAACTACAGATGGCGTTTACCACAACATTTGTAAATAATTCATAAAACACTGTCTACAGGCAGCAGTAGAAACAAACTGTCTGTATCAAATAAATCGGTACGTAAGTTTCATATCTATACTTGTAATGGTTTAAAAAAGTGCAATTGAATATAATAATAGGTTTAGCAATGATCCACCGCTTAGTACCCCAAGAACAGAAACCTTATTTCTACTAGTATTTTTTTCTAAAATGCTCTTTCTTGTATAGCATTTTGCTTACCTTATTTATTGGTTTCACAAGGTTATACGTTACCTGTGATGTGTGGTGTACGTATGTTCAGTACAAGTTTTTTACGAATGAATTTTCTTGCTCCATTACAAAAGGAATACACTACACAACTGAGAGTCACCATTAAAAATTGGGCATCAAAATGAAAAACACCATGTGAGAGGAGATCTCTACCTTTACATACTGTAAATTTTGTTTACCAGTGTTCCTTTAACATACCCCTCCCAACACAATCTAACAAATTGTTTACCAGCAGGTGGTCTTCTATCCCCTTACAACCCAATCTAACATTTGTTTACAAGTCAGTAGTCTTTTATCCCCCTCACAACCCAATCTAACAATTTGTTTACCAGTAAGTGGTTTTTATCCCCCCCCCACACCCCAATCTAACAATTTGTTTAACAGTAGGTGATCTTTCATCCCCCTCACAACCCAATCGAAGAAAAAAAAATTTACAAAAAGCTCTTTACGATAACAAAAACATTTTTCGCAGAAGAGAAGCAAAATAAAACACTTTCCATTTATTTATTTTTTTTTATTTCCCTGTCAATAAAGAAAATAAAAGAAACTCTAAAGACAGAATATAGTCAATACAGTGTGTACCTCAAAAACTGTAAAACAAAAAATTAATATTTCTAAGCAGGAGCACTAGCAGCTGGTACAGCCTTTTCTTCTTCCTTAATCCTGTCCTTTTTAAGGGTACCCATGAATGCGGCTTTGTCTGCCGCAGTTTGGAACCTTCCATGTCCAAATTTAGACGATGTGTCAATAAACTTGAGGTTAATTTTTTCCAAAGCGACACGTTTAGTATGAACTAACAACGACTGCAATTTAAAAAATCACGACACTTATTATTTATTTCATGCTATTCTTGACAATGATTTAAATGGTAATCGTGTGCACATGCAGAGAAAAGGCTACCAGATTTAAATAGAATAACCAAATCAAGGAAGCATTAACTATTCAATACTACATGGTAATCATATACATTCTAAGCGTTTATAATTCACTAATAAATACAAATTTCATTAATTTATAAATCCTAAGAGAGGGAGGTACACACATACCCAATTTCATAGATTTTAAGATCATTCGAACTGATAAGATACTATGAATCTGAGATTATTATTAGTATAACACTTCAACAAAACAGTTTTGTATTAATAATATCCAATACTTAATTAAGGCACATAATTTGCACTGAAAAAAAGATTATAAACTTTGATTTATTTACTTACCCTCTCAACTGAACTCTTCAATACTATGCATCACAGTTAAACTAATTATTCCAGGTAAAATTATCTTCAATGTACTCAAACTTCACACTATACAGACATACATTCTATACTACTACACATAAAAAACTACTTAAACTATATTAAATTTCAAAAGCTTCCTAGTTTAACAAATTATCGCATAGGAGAGAAGCTTTTATTGTTTGTATATTAATAGAATAGAATTTCTAGAAGAGTGAGTGCCATGCAAAAAGAGACAAGGAGCACATCCATGTAGAACAAATATACTGAAATTAATATTTTCTTACCTTTCTTAAAGTGATGACCCTCTTCTTTGGTCCCATACAACAACCTTTGATCATGACGAAATCGTTATTAACTTCACCGTAATGGGGGAAACCACCCATGGGGGTGATGGTCTTTTCGGTCAAATCATACTCTGTAGATGCGTTATTCTTTACCACCTGTAACAATTATACAAAAAAAAAATTAAATATGTTCAACTTCCTAATTAATTTAAAAGATTAAACACAAAAATATCAGTCCTATCATTTTGAAATCAATGAATTATTTTCATAATCCTTTTGGCTCTAGAAATCTCATCATATACAATGAAAAAATAACATTAAACAGTTTGAATTTCTGACATTCAGAAATATTAGTAAACACATTCTAAGAAATATCTTGAAACCCACCTTTCCATCCTTGGTATGGATACCAGCTCCAATTCTGTAAATTTTCTTGTTCATTTCAGTACGATGGTGGTAACCTTTTTGACCTGCACGAGCAACAGTAAAGGCAACTCTTGAAGGATGCCATGCACCAATACAAGCGACTTTACGAAGACCTTTGTGCGTTTTACGAGGCAACTTCTTTGTATGCCATCTCGATGTAACACCTGGAAAAAAAAAACATTCATTAAAATTGCAATTTTCCATAAAAATCTGATGCTTAAAAACGTCGATATTGCATCAGTAGGAAGGCAGCATGATGTATCGTCAAAATTATCAGAAGCCGGGACACCGGATCATGTTCTTTCATCATAAAGTTCTTGTATCAAGAAATTATTTCAACATTATTCACAATTTCAAAAATGTATGATTACAAATTAGATTTAAAAAAATCACAACTGTATAAGAATTTCAAAAAATTAATATACTTTTCTTATATTTCTATAAATTAAATATATATACCCTTGTATCCTTTTCCTTTAGTAACACCAACACAATCAATCATTTCATCTTGGGCAAAAACATTAGAGATAGGAATAGGTTTTTCAAGATGCTCTTTTACCCAATTAACCTTATCCACAACGGTTCCTCCATTTAATTGAATTTCCATAATATGGGCTTTCTTTTGACGTTGGTTCAATAATTTCATCTATAAATCAATGCATAACACATATATAATTAATTCAACAAAATCATTTGCTTCAAAAACTGTCAATAAAAAAAATTCAACTGAAGACTGGGCTGTCTAAAGCATGGTTTTTCCCAACATCAAGGCCCAAGGGCTACGTCACGATTATGGAATATGCTTTAGGTACCACCCAAGGGGTACATGCTCTACGACACTGCGAACAGACTATACTGCATTAAAAGGCAGCTCTATTTCGCCAGCTGAAGGGTAAGCTTCAAACTGATCGTGTCGATAGAAAAGACAAATTCGCCTTTGTTTTAAGATACCATTGTAAAAAAATTAACGAAGAAAAACTAACCTGAGTATGAGCAATGACCCTCACAACTTTGCAGTACTTGATGATCTTCTTGAAGTCTCGCTCTATAGACTTCTTGCCCAAATCATCCTTCCATTTCTTGGAAGCTTTAGTAAAAGCCTTCTTCTTGCTCTTGTACCTGTATTTCGAAGAAGTGGAAAATTGCACTTAAAACTTAGCAATCCACGATTTATAGGTATTTCAACAAAGGCGTCCTGAAAACGCATACAAAAAGGGGGCACGTCTCTTGGAAGTCAGAGGAGACTGTAGCCCCCATAGATCACACCTCGACGAAAAACTGGAAGCAGTTTTTCGCGTCTTGAGTGGACCATTTTGAATGCTCTCATGTTGCCATTGGAGAGCTATTTTATTTATGTTAATATGAATAATACTAAGTAGCGTTAAATTTTATACAAGTGACAAAAAACAATGAAATGCATTTAAAATAGTTTTAGCTCTCACCAATTCTTGTAGAAGCGCCTACGACAATCTTCTGATAAATGTTCTGCCCAAATAGTAACCAATGCTCTTAAACCATGAGGTGTTTCAATATAACCTACACATCCTACCACTACCATTGGGGGTGTTTCAAGAATGGTAACTGCTTCCACAATTTCTTTCTTATGCACCTCTAAATATTGAAATATTATTAGCAACATTCTAAAATATAAAGTAATTATCAATCCNACGAATTTTATTTAAACGAATGCGTGAACGCAATTAGTATAAAACATTTTAAAAGCAATGAACCAGTTTTGATGATAAACGTCACATTTACGAAATATCCTTTGCAAACAATACTGCAAACTGATTTCGTTAATTTCAACAAATCTTTGTTTCATTATGGAAATGCCTGCATCATCGACCAGAGAGGACGAAAAATTGAAGATTTTCTGAAATATGTCACCACAACCTTCCACTGGAAGCCACAAGCTAAGTACATTATCATATCCGACGAAAATCCTCAAGAAATTTTCAAATGTTTATCCCCCCACTTTGTAATAGATGTAATTGTACTTTACCCCAAGTCATCAAAAATGGTTGAAATTTACAGTTACAATTTATTTGGAGAAAATGGAGAAATTCTTTATCCTACCTCAAAATTACTGGATGTATGTATTGAAGGTGTTTTACAAGAGAATATCGATTTATTTCCAAATAAGCTTCCGAAGAATTGGAGCAAAATGGAAGTCAGAGCCGATGAAGTTACTTTTCTAGTAAAACCATTCAAAGGCCGAAGTGCACTCGAAGAAGTAATGAATATAATTGCGAAAAAGACGAAATATACCTTAACATACGTCGATCTGAAACCAAACCGTTCCTATTTCTTCCACAGAGAGCTGCTAAGCAATTGTCAAATACATATGGCCTTCACTGACAATTTGCAGTTGTTAGATCAAGTTTATCCACACACAACCGATCGCCTGGTTTGGGTTATTCCTAAAGCGAAAGAAATCTCAGGCTGGATGCGATTAACTTATATTATGGATGGAACACAAATATTATCGATTTTGCTCTTATTCTGTCTCATTGCATTGGCCAAGTTTTTATCGGATATAGTAAACAAAAAGCCGCACGATTTCATAAGTTCTTTATTATTTTCATACCGTTTCTTTGTTTACTCATCAGCGAGGTCCAAAAATCAAGCCACCAGTAGAAATGTTTTAGATTTGTTTTGGGCCATATTTTGTTTCATTTATACGACTCAGTTCTGGCACTGGCGTACTGTCAACACATCTTCTCCATACACATCAGTCAATTTCTTTCTGGCTTGAACAGCATTTTTACCCTTTCTGTAGTAAAACAGTAAGATATGTCGAAAATGCTGCTTATAGCTCTCCATATTTAAAAGGGCACCAACCAAAAACTACTGCGTAGAATTAATTGGAATTTTTCACACACAAGCCTTGCTATATGAGCTCTCAAGGCATATAAAAATTATACGGCTTAAATGTAAAGTTGGGTGCAAAAGAATACAATTAAATCCTCTGTCGGGAAAAAACGAAATGACTTTCCGAACAACCCTATAAATTTATTATATTATCTACTACAGAAAAGTTAGAAGAGTATCAAATATTTTGTATCTAGAGTTTAATAATTGAAAGGAGATGATTTGATAGCAGTTATACTGCTTATTATGGCATCTACAACACTGGATCGATCCTCGACGTTACATAAAGCTTCAATAATTGATTTCTCATTGATCAAAATCAGGCTGAACATAAAGCTTTCAAAAGCGACTATTTTTTAGTAGTAATTGACATCAACAATCCTATTGTACGAACCAATTCAGAAACGACTTTACTGCACTTAACTTTGTGTAGTCGTATAATTACATCATTATACAAAATATGATAAAAAGTACGAAAATGTATGATTAAAGGAAGTTTTATGAACTAAAACGATAGATTTTACTTGTTTGGTATTTATCAGTTGCGATTTTCCTTATAAGAGTTCCGGAACCTTAGACCACAAGCTTAGTAAGTATATGAAACATTAATGATATCAGCCCAGAATTACATCATTTGGCCCAAAAGGTAATTCGAACACGTACCTAGGACAACGTGGGGAAAACCTAGAATAAAACCTATCGTGAAATATTGTACACATATTGTCAATGATACACATAAAGACATAGCGCCCCTTTCATCCAGTAAAATAATTCTGCTCCCGATAGACAGAAAAATTAGTTTTATGTGGTCGTCGATAATCATTAACTCGCATTTAGAATATCAACGGGAAAGGTAAAACCTATTATGAAACTTTGTACACATATTGTCAGAAATACACATAAGGACATAGAATGTCTTTTATTCAGTAAAACATTACTGTTCCTGTGGGTAAAACCTAATTCAAAATATAGATGAGTAAACAGTTTTACAGAGCACTGGAAAGAAGAGTATGAATGTCTTTTTATTTCTCGAATAAAATACGGGATTATGTAGAGTTGACTAAAAATAATGTTAACTATCTAATTATATATTGCACAAATAGCAATTAAACTTCTCTTTATAATCCATTTCAAAGCATTTCATAGTTTTCTACAGTTCCTACAAAAGCTTTTCGGATAGTTAAAACTCTCTACTGGCTGTGGATTACTTTTAATATGATAAGTCTATTTTACGCCAGATTTGGAATTATTTTATTTCTATAACTATATTCATTGTTATTAATGTCCACGCGGCGCACTATTTAACACATAAATCATAAGCAATATTATATAATGGGACAGCTAAATTCTCACGATTAGGCAACAAATTAATAGTGACAGTTATACAGTAGATTTTTCATCTGAATTTATGTAAAAGCAAAAGGAACTACCTATTAACAGAAATAGAAACAATAATACGTATAATTAGTCGTTATTAACCACACCTTCATCTATGTAAATGGATTCTAAAAGGAATAAAAAATATGGAAAAAAATGAAGAAAACCAGTAATTGAACTAAAAGCATTTCGTTTTATCGAGAAAATCGGTCTTAAAAAAAAAGTACAAGACACAAAATATTATTTTAATGTTCCTTCCCAGTTTCAACAGACTTCTAAAATAGATAAAACGTATCCAAATGAATCTGTTTCTGCAACTTATTCTTCAATTTCATTTCATTTTTACTGTAAACACTATTGGTCTCTTACCGGTGGAAGATGGAGAATTTTATTTAAACGAATGCGTGAATAAAATTAGTGCGAAATATTTTACGAACACTGGCCCTGTTTTGATGATAAATGTTACACTATCAAATTTTCCTTTGCAAACAATACTGCAAACCGATTTCGTTAATTTCAACAAAACTTTGTTTTATTATGGGAATGCCTGCATCATCGACCAGAGAGGACAAAAAATTGAAGATTTTTTGAAATATGTTGCCACAACCCTCCACTGGAAGCCACAAGCTAAGTACATTATTATATCCGACGAAAATCCTCAAGAAATTTTCAAATGTTTATCTCCTCACTTTGTAATAAATGTCATTGTACTTTACCCCAAGTCATCAAAAATGGTTGAAATTTACAGTTACAATTTATTTGGAGAAAATGGAGAAATTCTTTATCCTGTCTCAAAATTACTGGATGTATGTATTGAAGGTGTTTTACAAGATAATATCGATTTATTTCCAAATAAGCTTCCGAAGAATTGGAGTAAAATGGTAGTCAAAGCAGATGAAGTTACATTTCTAATAAAAATATTCAAAGACCACAACGTATTTGGGGAAGTAATGAGTGCAATTGCAAAAAAGATGAAATATACTTTGAAGTATATTGATCTGAGACCAAACCGTTCCTATTTCTTTCACAGAGAGCTGCTAAACAATTGTCAAATACATATGGCCTTCACTGACAATTTGCAGTTTTTAGATAAAATTTATCCACAAGCACCCGACCGCCTGGTTTGGGTTATTCCTAAAGCAAACGAAATCTCAGGCTGGATGCGATTAACTTATATTATGGATAGAACACAAATATTATCGATTTTGTTCTTATTCTGTTTCATTGCATTGGCCAAGTTTTTATCGGATATAGTAAACAAAAAGCCGCACGATTTCATAAGTTCTTTATTATTTTCATACCGTTTCTTTGTTTCCTCATCAGCGAGATCCAAAAATCAAGCCACCAGTAGAAATGTTTTAGATTTGTTTTGGGCCATATTTTGTTTCATTTATACGACTATTTTTATGACTCATTTGACTGTTTACATGACGACACGATCTTTCGACAGACAACTGGATACAGCCGAAGATCTTGTCAAAAGCCGACTCAAAATTGGGATTCGTGAACGTTTTGCAGATATCGACTTATTTCAAAATAATAATTCAGTAGATAATTACATTAGAATGAATCATTACAACTGCGATGATTTTCAGAAGTGGCTTCATTGGGCTGCTAATGAGCGAAATGTGACGTGCATTTTCTCAGAAAACTCTCTCAAAGCAATATATAATAAAGTTCCTTCGGAAATGATTCCAATTCACATAGGGTCCGAAACAATTATAGCAACTTATTACAGTTTCGTATTCTGCAAGGGATTCCCTGTTCAGGATGACATAAGGCGTCACGCGGCGAGTATCTTCGAAAGTGGAATTCTGAGTAACTATTTAAATATGTTTCTGACTCGTAAGAAAAGAGTTTCGCATAAACGAACCGATTCAAATGTATTTTTAACTGCCAGCGATCTCAGTTGTGGCATTAAAGTAATAACATTGGGATTAGGTATTAGTTTAATAATATTTGCCGCTGAGTTTTGTTACTATTACGGGTTGAAATTTTATAAAGAACGTGGGCCATTTTTTCAGCAAAGATTTGAATTCAGAAACCGGCCCTGGTAATCATATTTAATACGATACATGTTAATTTTAAGACATACTATAGTGCGTCTATAGATTAGCAACAAATTAAAAATTATTCCTGTGTATATGGAGCTTTAACTGTTAGTTACAACAGGGTTAATATTACAATTGTCTTAGGTATATTGAGAAGAGTAAGAGCTATAGTTTTAATTATTTATGAGATTTAAACAGTACAAAGACAAAAGAAACCGACTATACCCTCAAAACTGCTGTATTTAATGATATAATATTGTAGCTGATTACATTTAATGAATAAAAAACTGAAAAAAGAAGCATTTTCATTGT